ACTTCTCCTCTACAAGAGGATACTCACCCTGTTCCAAGGGTTCTAACTCTCCTCTACAAGAGGATACTCACCCTGTTCCAAGGGTTCTAACTCTCCTCCACAAGAGGATAATCTCAACTCTAATGAGTTTAATAACCTGGAGAGAGCAGAAACCTGTTGTTCCAGTTCTAGTTGATCTGCACCACCAATATGAAGTTATACACTACCAATATGAATTTGCTACTGATGTTCGTCAATTTATAATCCTTTGTTCAATTTCAATCAACCAATTTTAACTTCGCCATTTGTGCAAATATTTCAAAACAAATTTTATTTTTTCTTAAATAAACGTTATAGAATATTTGGGTTTTTTCTGATTTCTTTATTTGTATATTTTCTGACCTTTTTTAAAGGTCAACAACTTGGCTTTTAGGCAAAGTTTTATTAGAAAAATTTATCAAAGAATTTTAACAATCTATTAGCAATTATTATCTATTTTCACATCTTTAATTTTATTCATTTATACAGGGTATTCCACTAAGGATGAGAGCTTAGAGACGACTGTACCGAATGTATACTGTCTGTTTCCTTATACTCATGGTTCCTCATGCAACTAGTTTCTTTCTTCAAAAATTTATTTTTAAAATCCATTAAATTACTATAATAACCAAGGGAGAAGACTTAATTTAACCTTGGAAGAGCGGGGGAAGGCAGGCGGCCATTAGCCACAACATTATTCCCATCTATGCAATATATTAGATTTTTTGTCTTACTTGAGCCATGAGCCACAAGCACAACCGTACGGTCTTCCATGCCGCAGCATTTGAGTTTTCTGTCAGTCATGCAAAAGAAATATATAAAAAAAACTTGAAAATATGACGATTCCTTTAAATGCAAACTAAGCTGAAAACTTTAGAATGAGATATCCTTGATCTCGATTACTTAATCTGAGTATCTTATGGACACACTTTATATTTTCTTCTTAAACCGTTTTTTCTTGGATAAAGTATAGAGAAAAATCAAAAACCGTGTTTTAAAATAAGAGAATTCCTCCCGTTTCTGTATATAATCTTAAATGGCGCGCAAAATTTCAAATTTATCGGTTTCATATACGCGACCCTGATTGGTTAAATTTCAAACACTTTTTTGGATAGAAGTACAAAATTACGTTAGTCTTGTTATTAAGAAAAAGAGAGGATCAGCATTAATCTCGATATCCAACATTCTAAAGTTTTCAGATCTGCTAAACTTATTTTCCCCAAAAATAAATTCAATCTTTACTCTAAAAGTTCAAAGGGCGCCCAAACCGAAAATTTGCACTATTTAATGAGAAAATTGCAAAATAGAATTTTTTCTTGAGGAAATCTATAACGCTCAGGAAATGACAGCTACTTTTTTGATTTTTCTCATCTTTTCTTATTCTTTAGACTACCCCAAACAATTTGTCTCGGTGCCCACAATGCGTAAATTGAAGTAAGAATGTCTTTGTATAATGTAAATCAGTTTATAAACTGAACACATAATTTATTGATCTTTAATAAAATTTCTTCAAGGTATGATCTTTCGCGTGATGCGGCAGGATTTTTAAAAATTGCAATTTCAATGTCCTAAATTTATCATTTAAAAACGTAATGACTGTCGGAAGCCTCCAATGATGTGGCATGGAAGACCGTATACGGTTGTGGCTCATGGCTGCCGGAAGACAAAAAAGATAATATGTGGCATGGAAGATGAAAATGTTGTGACTCATGACCGCCTGACTTCCTCCACTCCGTGAAATCATCATAATACAATAGTTTTAGATCGTCCTTTCAAACTCATCTTTTGTGGGTAACCCTGTATACGCATTAAACATTAAAGAGGACATTTTAAAATATTACAGACTATTTCTAAATTTGTATACTGAAAAGAATTAAACATTATTTTTATGAAGAAAAAGTAATTTCAGAAAATGGAAAACTATTTAAAAATGTTCAGTTTCTTCTTAACATTTAGGAAAGGGCAAAGAGAGCTATTCTAGCCAAAATGTATTCCCATTTTGTTCATGAAAAAGAGTTTAAAAAATCGCTATTACTCTAAAAAAACTTTACGACTTCTATAAGTTTTGTTTTAGTTTAGTTTTGTAATCAAACATCATTAAACTGCCTCAGAATTTAAAGGACATAGATTAATTAAAATAACAGATAGGACACTAGATGTCGTCGTTTCAAGATTTTTGTGTTTTTCGTGCACAATAACCCTAAGGCAAAAGCCCTAAGAAGTTACACATAGTCGGCGTTGAACAGGCGCGCTCTCTCTGTCTTGTAATTCTTCAGAGAGTGAGCCTGTTCTACGCCAACTGCGAGTAACTCCTTCGGGCTTCTGCCTCAGGTAAACGAAAAACACATAAATCTTGAAAAAACGACATTTAGTGTCCTATCACTTATTTTAATTAATCTACAGAGCGTCCCATATCATATTAGATTATCAACAATACGAACATAATACGCAAAAAAATATTTAGCATTTTCTGCCAAAAAATTTTTGTTAGCCTTTTTAAATTTTTTAAAATGATTCATTCTTCTTGAATTTTCTGATTTGTATTTTGTCCCCTAAATCGTATTAGACCCATTGACGCGGTCTAATTTGCATGATGTGGGACACCCTGTTTGTTAAAGGGGTTGTCTACGTAATTTCATCTTTATTATTATTTAATTGTTTTATTTCAATTAACCCCTTTTTATTCTCAGTCTTGTATTTCTTGCGGAGTGCGTCAATAGTAAGAGCAAATGTGCAACAGTTTCCAGGTATACATACAATTAAAGCACAGTACATTGCAGTACAGCACAGTAGAGTATAATGAAGTACAGTAAAGTACCATACAGGAAAGTAGAATACAGGAGAATGCAGTACAGGAACGTATACTACAGGAAAGTGCAGTGCAGAAAAATTACAGTACATAAAGTACAATTCATTATTATCCATTACAGTACCGTACAGTTTAGTACGGTACATTGTATTCCATTACTTACAGTACTGTACAGTAAGACACAGTACAGTTTAGTACGAACAGTACAGTACATTAAACTACAATACAGTAAAATACAGTACATACATGTACTGTATTTTACTGTAAGCTGTACAGTAAATTACAAAGCAGGACAGTACAGCACGGTTTCCTACCAGTACAGTAATAGTTTAATATTTTATACTCTGTTCTTTCTTCATAAGAACCGTTTTTAAAACATTATAAAAATTCTTTTTTATAATTTTTAATAATAAAGAAAAATACAATTACAGTGGTTGGATGGATTCCCCTGTAGAACTAAGTATACCAGAGGGAACTCCTCTTTTCGGGAAACCTGGAACTAGTCAAAGGTAACTTTTAGAAAACTTTGGACTAGACATATGTTACTTTTGGAGAACTTGGAACTTATCATAGGTAATTTTTGGGAAACTTCAGATATGTTTCTGTTGGGGAACTTGGAACTTTTCATATAGGTAACTTTTGGGAAATCCTTGTTATTGGCAACTTGCAAGGAAAGTTATTTCAGAGGTGTACGCATCTTTTGTACTGCAGTGTACTGTCTCTGGGCGGTAATGTAAACACAAGACGTATGTCGAAGCCTGACATGGGATCCACCTTTCACATAAAAAATCAATGAAATATTCTGGCCATAGGAAACTATTATGTAAATTTTCAAAGTTATCAAAATTTAATGCTTTTAACCTCCTCGGATACTAAACAAACACTGATGCATCTATTCTTGTTTACAAATTCCGCCCAGAGAAAACTGGTTTAAATATGTACGCAGAGTATACGCAACTGCAATTAACTTTCCTTGTATTATAACCTTGGTCAAAGATAACTATTGGAAAAACTGGTAGTAAGCTATAGGGAATCTTTTCAAAGTAAATCTTTGTTGGTTTATATCTACATGTTCATGTAACCAAAACAACGTAAGCAATGATTTATTATTTAATGTGTAGTTACTATATTGACATATTAAACACTGATCTATCATTGGTTTTGCGTATTTGAATAAAAATAAGAGAGATGAAATTGGTATTTTTTTTCGAATAAAATTTTAATTACTTGATAAATCTAGGATACCGATTGATGTAAAGAACAAATACGAAGATGATTTGTTTCTACTCTTCATGTTCCAAGAAAACTTTCCCATTCAGGAAAAAAACAAATTTAAACATTAATTTTTTAATGATCCTGAGACCAAATTTAAAGAATTTGAGCCGCGGCTTAAATTTGAGACGCGGCTCAAACAGGTTTGATTTCACTTCGAAAATTGTATTCAATGATTCAAGATTTAAGCCGGGGCTCAATTGAAATCTTTTTTTTTTGCGGATTTGAGACACGGCTCATACTCATTAAATTCGGACTCTTAGCATGGAAACTAAAGTGATATCTTTTCATTTGTCCATTTTGACTGCACAATTAATCGTGTTGTCAAGTCTAAAATTTGCTGGAATTAAAATAGCCTTTAACTGCGTATGCCTCTTTTACACATGATTTATATGAGTGGGCTATTAATTCATTTGTTGGTTACAGAGTAATTAAAGAGATCAGTTTTAAGTATTTATTTGGTTTGGTTCCAGAGTTAAATCAAAGAAACCGATTTTGAATTTGTTAAGTTTGGTTGTAGAGTAAATCACATGCAGAAACCGGTTTTGAAATTATTTGGTTTGTTTCTTGAAGTAAATCCAAAAAACCAGTTTTGAATTTATTTGGTTTGGTTGTAGAGCATACAGAAGGATATCCATGCGGAGATGGTTCAGGAGATACAACCAAATATGCTTCATGTCAGGAATACTGTTCATGTCTTTATAAGTAAGACCTAAATTCTAAAAAAGGATTTTGAATGAGCATAATTTTAACTTTATAATTTTTTATTTTAGACGTATTTGTTTTAAGGATAAATATACAGATTACCCCGGAGATAATATATTTTGAACATCGAAAGAATTTATGAAATGTCGTCTTGCCAATTTTTCAATGGGTTTTTTACTATTATATACGTAAATCTCAGTAATTGCAAAAATAGATAAATAACCATGAATATGCGGGAACAGTTTTAAAGAGCTCCATGTAATCATTTTATTAAAAAGCTAGATATCTGCATGCATTCCATCATCAGAAAGTTAAGAATACGACATTTTTTAAAATTCTTTCAATGTCTCTTTATATTTGAACTTAACTGTATAAAAATATTAAAATAAGAAGCTTTAACAAACTTTTAATTCAAATGTATTGTTTGCAGCATCTATATAATTATATATTTTTTAAAACTATGTTTTTTATGTGAAAATCAATGCATATTTTAGATAATATGAATAATAAACCTAGACTGAATGTAAATTTAGAAGTAACAGTACAGAAAGAGTGAAAGTTAAGCTCCATGTCTCTCATTTTATCCCAGATATGTACAGAGGGAAGGTCACTCTAGTTGCTAGACTAGCTGTACATAACTCCAGCCAGCCAGGTAGACTAGCTGTACATACCACTTATCAGTTACCAGGTAGACTAGGTGTACATAAATTTAGCTGTACATAACACTAGTCTGGTAGACTAGCTGTATTACACAGCCTGGTAGACTAACTGTACATACCACTTACCAGGTAGACTAGATGTACATAAATTTAGCTTTACATAACACTAGCCTGGTAGACTAGCTGTATTACACAGCCGGGTAGACTAGCTGTACATAAACAGCCAGGTAGACTAGCTGTACATAAACAGCTCCAGGTAGACAAACTGTATATAACACTAGCCTGGTAAACTTGTTGTACATAACAAAAGCAAGATAGTCTAGCTGTACATAACAATACATGCAGGTAAACTAGCTGTACAATAGCCAGGTAGACTATCTCTAAATAAAACGTCAGGTAGGTAGACTATTTGTACATAAAACTAGCCAGGTAAACTAGCTGTACATAGCACTAGCCAGGTAGACTAGCTGTACATAACACAAGCCAGGTAAACTAGCTGTACATAACACTAGCAAGGTAGACTAGCTATACATAACACAAGCCAGGTAACACTAGCTGTTCATACCACTAGTCAGGTAAACTAGCTGTACATAAAACTAGCCAGGTAAACTAGTTGTACATAACACAAGCCAGGTAGACTAGCTGTACATAACACAATCCAGGAAGACTATCTGTACATAACACTAGCTAGGTAAACTAGCTGTACATAACAATAGCCAGGTAAACTAGCTGTACATAACACTAGCCAGGTAAACTAGCTTTACAAAACACTAGGCAGGGAAACTAGCTGTATAACACAAGCCAGGTAGACTAGCTGTACATAACACAAGCCAGGTAGACTATCTGTACATAACACTAGCCAAGTAAACTAGCTTTACATAAAACTAGCCAGGTAAACTAGGTGTACATAACACTAGCCAGGTAAACTAGCTGTACATAACACTAGCCAGGTAGACTATCTGTACATAACACTAGCCAGGTTCATCATATATACATGATACCAACAAACCAAATTGTTTAACTTGACAGTGGGTCGAGGGTAGCTGTAAGTGTAAATTATACATAACACCATAACATTATTGAATAAAATTACTATCAATAATCTTGAAAATATTAATAATTTTTTAGACTTTTTATTACACTGGAAAACTGAGCTGACATTCTACTTCACTGTTCTTACCCAGAATATCAGGAAAATAGCAAGATTTAGAATGAATTATGATTTTAGCTAAATTCAATGATTTTGTTTGTTTGTTTTTCTTCTACGAACATAATGATTAGCCAGCGAAAAAAGAGCAAAATTTGTTTTGAAAATTAGTTTATATTTACAGATTTTATATATATTAAAATATTTTATAAGATGAAGTGTGATTTGATGCTTTCAAAAGTTAAAATGAGGTCTGACAAACAATAGATAGATTCAGATTTTACCAAATCCCCCTTACCAAATTCAAGAAGATTTCCTTTATTAAAGTTCTTGATGTTTTCCTGAAGAATGTATGACGGAGTTCCACCAGACTGTGGCCAGGTAACAACATATTTTTTAAATATATCATAAAAGAATGCTTTCTTTATTAATAAATTTGTCAACGTTTTGAAAATATTCTTTTCTGACCTGAGCTGAAAACTTTAGAATGGTGGATATCAGGATTAAGGCTTAAACCACTCTTTTTCTTAATATCCAGTTTAAATATTGCTTGTTCTCCTCATGAATTTAAACTCCAGAGAAGCTAATCCATCGGATATCTGGATATTTCATTCTAAAGTTTTCAGCTCTGAGCACTTTAGAATTGTGGAATGTGGATAAAGAAATCAATGATTTTTTAGTTTTTATTTCTCTTCCGACTAAATCTTCCGGAAATATCCGGAAAATTGTCTAAACTGCAATTGATCAGGGTGTGTAGATTGTAGATTTAAACATTATTAATACTAGAGATAAGGGCTTTATCAATTAGTAATGGCTATGAATGACGTATAATGATGTATTTACTGGTTCTAAATGTTGAATTGTATATTTCTAATATTCCAGTTTATCGAATGTGAAAAAGAGAAGCAATGTCAAATAACAGAAGGAGGTAAACCTTTTTAAAAATAAGCACAACTTTGGGAAGGGCATCAACTTGTTTTTACGGTATTGCAGTGCGTGCCCCCCCCCCCAGCACTTAACCTCAATTACGATTCAAAAATGGATTTTTACATGACATAAACTTTGCAAATGAAGGAAAATGTAATGATAGAAGATAAAAGGCTAAAACAAAAAACAATCTGTTTAATGTTTTTATCTTCTTTTTAAAGTAAAAATAATCATTGCTATGGAATGCAAACTTTAAGTACGTATGTCGTAAATTGATATATATATATATATAATATATATAATATATATACATATATATATGATAATGCTCAGATTATTATGTTACCCAAAGAGTTAGAAAATTGGTGTTCTCCTAGAGCATGTCGTATATGTCCTTTCTATCTCAAGAATACCAGGTTTCTGCTCTTAGAGAGGTGTATGAGTCAGATCTTTATTTATCTCTGAATATTCCAGGCTTCTGGAGTATTACAAGGAAATGTCATCTTATGTCTATCTTTATCTCTGAATGTTCTAGGTTTCTGCTCTGAATCCAGCTATGATCTGATATTGAGGGTTGAGGACAAGGAATCAGGAATACAGATGTTTAAACCTGTTTATCCTGATAATATTGAACTCAGATATTCCAGGTATACAACTGATAAACACAACTAAACACTACCATCTAAGGAAATTTGTACCGGTTCGGTCCTTTCCTTGTTCTTGGGGTTAATTCTGCCCTATACTATGGCTTTATTGGCATTCAAAAAGTGAGATTTTTGCTTGCCTCGCTTGTCCTGTTATCTAGGATTTCTTTCTAATTTGGAGTTTTGAATATGAACATTTTATCCCCCACCAGAAAATTTTTATATGTTTGCAATATATATGACGTTAGACCTTAAACTTAAACTAGTTTTAAGAAATAAATATTTAGATTGAACAAAATGAAAAAAATAAAACTTTCTCCTACTATTATTAACCCAACGATAAAAATGGGTGAGAAATAAAAATGTTTCTTTACAACAATTATGTTTGACATACGCCCCTATTATAAATGAACACATCATTTAAACTTTACATGGTTTGTTGCAGGTATCCCATTGGTACCAGAGGAGAAGTAATTTTAAAATTATCTCAAAGTTGCTGTGAGGACGCGGCAAGCGTGCACGTGCAAGATTTGGCGGGAAACACGGCAATCTGCAACTACGGACCTGTTCCATCGTCAGCTTCACAATCCTTGTTAAATATGTACATTTTATTCAAATGTTTTATGTTGTTAAACTTGTCAGTTTAATATATTGAGATGGCAAGAGAAATATTCTATACATTTTTAATATATTGTCATGTCTCCAACTCGTTTTCTTATTCCAGTGATGCTTGTGTTTAAGTATTCACAAAATAGTATTATCAGGAGCCAGTTAAACCCATAGATAAAGATAGATTGCGCATAAGACGACATTTTTCATCTTGAAAGATATAAATGTATCATTTATCTATGGTTAAACCATAAAAGTTAAACCAAAATTTAAACATATTTGGAAAATAATTTAAAGGCTCTTTCCGTAATAGTTTTTGTAGAATGCACATCGAATTCCTAATTCTTCAGTTGTCCTTGTCGCCTCAGTCCTGATCTTTTAAAGTATATCAAGCAAGAAAAACTGAGAAATGAATTAAAAATATAAACAAATCTTCCCAAAAATCACATTTATGATATATTTAAAACACAAAGTTTTTTGAACAAACAACATTTATAAAACATACAAGATCTTTTAAAGGAACAGTATATGTAATTTCAAGTGGCATCCTTTTATTTACCAACATTACCTTGTAAAACTTAGTCAAATAATTAATAATGAATAAATGACTTTTTCTCCAAAAAATTATTTTGTGTTTTGGTATTTTGAAAAAGTGACTCCTGCAACCAAATTAAAATAATTTGACAATTTTCATGAAAAAATACCACGATATGTAGGTTTCTTGAAAAACGCTTTCCTTTGACCACAACAACAGCTTTCTACCTCCGCTTTCTACGCATATTATAAAGCTAACATGTAGCTCATTGTTTTTCTGATTAGTGATGGGCATAGGTTTGATGGCGGTATTGAGACATTTAGGTGTTTTTGGCGTTAAAAGTGTTTAACAAAAATGCGAATAATTCATTAAATTGCAAAGTTGTATTCTCGAAAAGTTAGTATTAATTAAATTATGCGAATTTTGTTCCATCCTCAAAGATCAGATTTTTTAAAATATTTGGTCAGAATAAAAATGTTGCATAATGTAATAAAAGAAAGCTTGTCTAACAATTTTGAAAAAGGATTTTCAGAATTTTGAGATTCAAAAACCGGCCTTTCAACGATGGTATTTCTGAATATCTAAACTCTGTTATCTTGATTTTATTTTGGATTTTTTTCAGAGGATTTTTTCTTGGATTTCTGAATGGTTTTCAATTTGGATCTTTTCGTCCCACCAGCCAGTAGGTTTCCATCTCACCAATCTAATACAAGGATAATTAGTGTCAACCAGATAGTAAGATGTAGTTGATAATTTTAATTCATAAGATACTTAAAAAACTGCTATGTCAATTGTATGAACCAAGTTCAATAATGCGTAGATGAAGCAGGAACCGAGTTTAAACCAGGATGATTATCTGAATTGTACTTAAAGAAGGAGTTGGAGAATATACTTCATTCCCGCATACCATCTAGCGGGGTTCACATACACTTTATATTTGGGAATGTTTTTATCAATTGGAATAAAATATACAATAATAATAGTATCTTTAGTTGTGCTAGTTGTGCTAGTTATGCACTTAGGTACCTTCCTACCTACCAGACTTTTGTCGGGTATACAATTCTTGGTAGCGTACAAAGGAATTGAGTCTTTGCCACATATTCAGCTTTTGTAAAACCTATATCTTTGCAACCTTAGGGTGTAAACCTTTGATATTTCAAAATTACATTATTTGATCTAATAGAATTCATAGTTTGAAATATCAAAGGTCTGCGACATTGGGTTGCAACGATATTGAAATTAGAAAATCAGAGTTTGTGGCAAAACCTCAATTCATTTCTGTTAATTTTTGATACAACTCGTTTCTTGGCTCAGAGTTTGGCCCCTTCTCTATATATTTGCAGCGCTAACACTCTCTTTTAGACAGTGACGGCTCAGAACTTTAAAAGCATAGAGAATAGAATATATATTAGAGGAGAATTTTGGGAATCTCTCGGTATGAATTTTTCAGTCTCTTTCAGCCTGAAAGGGAGTTCAAAGTGTACAAATCATATAAATGTTCACAAATTATGTGCAGTAGAGTACATTAAGACAGTATGTTCCCTACTAGGGAATCCCTAGAATATTCATTTCAATTTCAACATTTTTAAAGCTGTTAAATAAACTTTATAATGAATTAGGGGAATAAAAACCATCATTTGATTTATAGTTTTAACATGTGAAATGATCATTGGTCAATTATGAAACCAGCCTATTTCATAATTTGTTTTTCTTTTAACATTAATTTTAGATTTTCTATAAAATGATGTTCCAGGGACCAAAAGGTTATATAGCACAAATACGTGAAGTACACCTGTAGTATGGAAACAGTACAACAAAATGGTCGTTTTACACTTTTTTCTAGTAAATTCCACTCTAACATATATTCTGTTCTCTTTGTTTAAAAGCCTGTCCTAACCCAAAAATAATTTGATGGGGATGTTTTATTGTTTTATGTATAAACAATTGTTAAATAAATAAAAATTATGTCTAGTTGTATCTAGCTCAAAAACGAAGCAAACACAAAATTATTGAGATGATCGGGTAATGTAAAAAACTCTGACCAACAAAGGATAAAAGTCAAGTCGGTACCTGATGTACCTTACTAAGGCCAGTACAAGGAGTCAGTTCGGCTCGAATTAAAATTAGCCCTAGTTCACTGACATTATACCTTTGGTAGTTGAACTACTCCCCTAGAGGTGTAGTTGAATCCTCCACTTTTTTCAAGAATAGTTGTAGATGCCTCAGACATCTGAATCTGAACATGGATTTGGTTAAAGGGACAGAAATAAACTGGCATGTTCAATTCACACCGTTTCTACTTTTAACCTTTATCTGAGTAACAATGAGAAAGATGTTGTGATTTTGGAATCTGTCATCAAATTCTGATGAAATCTTTTCTTGCCTTTGGAGCATATATCCACGAGTCACTTTAAAAGAGAGACAATTCTTGAAAAATAACAATTTTTGGAAAGAAAAACTCGCTTTTAATCATGAGCATAGGTTGAAAGAGTACTGTTGCAAATCAGACTCTATAAATGTAGTTTTATTTCACTGGAAACTATCTTAGGTAAGGGTATTGTCTGCCTGTTTGTTTTTACGTCAAAACAACTGAACAAATCAGGCCCAATTTTTTTTTGGCAGCTCACATCACTCCAAGAAAGGTTTTTCGTCCGTAAAAGTTGAACAATTTTGCACGGATTTTTTTTCCATTTGTGTTTGAAAATGCGCCAATTGAAATACAAACATCCGCGAAAATTTGAGAATGAATACAATTGGCAAAGTTGAAAGCTAAAAGTGTTAATGGAAGGAAAGCACGAAATGCCCTAAAAGCCTATGATGATATATTTGATTACCTTCATAGCCTCTCCACTAGACTCCATTATTCCAGCTATCTCCACAGTGTCTCCAAATATTGAATAATGAGGTATCTGTAACAGTTTTAATTATATCATTGTTATTAAATTATATTTTTTTACAATATCTAAATTCGAAATACTGAAACTACATGAATACATTAAAATAAGTCCCATGGCCGGAAAGTTCAAAAAGGTTAACTATACACACCAACTTTTTACAATGTTGTTAATGGGCCGGAAAATTTGTCAATTGTAAATTTCACCATGCAAAAGCTCAAAAGAATTAAAAAATGTATGGCAATTTTAAAACGTTTTCATCATCAATTAAAAAAAAATAATTAACTAACCTTAGCGCCAACTACGCCGCCAACAACGCTTCCAGTATGCATTCCAGACCTTATCTTCAACCTAGATCAAACAATCAGATTTATAGAAGTACTTTTCTATAAATAATATTGTAACCACTTCCCGCCCCCTCCTTTACCCTATGGGGTCATGTAGACCTTCCCTCCTCCGTCTTATCTAGATACTTTAGCTTAACAAAAACATATAAGGATGTGTTGATAAGGCAGGATCACAGGATATAAAAGGAGACCAAAATAAGATAAACTTCAGTTGCAATGAAAGCCTCTTAGAAAGAGGGACCAACTCCCTTTCTGCTTTGGGAAGCAGGGGTTAGGAGGGTAAAAATGTAGGGCCGGAGTTTGAAGTTTGCAAGTTCAGAGAGTCAGAGTCCAGAAGCCAAGAGTTACAGAGTCCAGCAGAGCGACCGGATTCAAGAGGGGCAAAATGTAAAAATCTGTGCTTAACCATTGCTAAATATTTCAGAAAATATTGATGCAATACTATAAAGTGAGGAAAGGAAACTTTATAAAATCTTTTCAAATCCCTGTATATTTGCAACCCGAAGTTTTGGACCTTTGTTATTTTGAACTATGAATCCTGCTGAGTAAAATAGTTGAGTTTAGAATTTTAAAGACTAACACCATCAGGTTGCAACGATATAGGGATTCAAAAATTTGAGTTTGAGGCAAAAACGTGGTTCCTTTTAAGTAAATGTAACTTTGTATCTATAATTTTCTACACATCCATAAAATGAATACATAGATTTTCGTGAAACAAAAAAAGTACCAATCAATGACTTTTTCAATAATAACCTTTTCATTAATCAAAACATGAAATTTTGAGATACCATTTTTTCAATCCTACCTGTATCCTGGCTTGTGAGGGATCCTACCTGTATCCTGGCTTATGAGGGATCCTACCTGTATACTGGCTTGTGAGGAATCCTACCTGTATCCTGGCTTGTGAGGAATCCTACCTGTATCCTGGCTTGTGAGGAATCCTACCTGTATCCTGGCTTGTGAGGAATCTTACCTGTGTCCTGGCTTGTGAGGAATCCTACCTGTATCCTGGCTTGTGAGGAATCCTACCTGTATCCTGGCTTTTGAGGAATCCTACCTGTATCCTGGCTTGTGAGGAATCTCGAACGTTACAACGTTTGCTAAAATGAATTTTCTATAAATTCAGAGGCCGAATTTAAAGAATTTGAGCTGCAGCTTAAATTTGAGACACAACTTAAATATGATTGGTTCCACTTAAAATTGTATACAATGTTTCAAGATTGAAGCCGGCGCTCAATTGAAACCGATTTTTGGCGGATTTGAGACGCGGCTCAAATTGATTAAATTCGGACTGAGAGGTCAGAAGTTTTGCCGCCAATATTTAAATAATTTAAAAGGATGTAAAGTAATAAGGCAGCAACAAATGAAGAAGTAAATATTCGTTTTTCCAAGGGAATCTTTAGGCCAAGGGAATCAAGTGCCATTGTTTTCAAACAATTTCTATTCAGAAGGTTTACAGCCATTTTTACCAGAGATAATAAACATAATGACGGCTAGGGCTGGGCATGTTCCAACTTTTTCTAACCGTTATGTTAAAGGTTAGTTCAAACCGTTAAAAAAGAAAAATTTCAGGCAGCTGTTAATTAAGGTAGAAACGGAACATTCTTAATGTTAATGGTATTTTTTGGGTTTTTTTACAAGTTACTGTTAGTTACGTTAACGATCTCAATTTTTATAACAGCGTTATCGAAAGTCGCCTTGTTTTCGTTTTCAATCGTTAATTTTTTTGTCAAAAACGGCTAATCTGTTTTGTTAACGATTTAAAAATTAATGGTTTTTCCTGTTCGTTAACAAACTCTTCCGTTAATTTTCGAAAATGATCGTTTCATTATCGATACTTCCTTCAGCATATCGATGGCCATAATTTTCAGAGATGTTTAATGCCTTTTTTTTACCTAAAAGATCAAGTGCCATTTTTGCAATTTCTACAGCATGTTGATTCCCATTTATAATTGGTACTCCACTAGCCACCATGTAGGCATCACCTATAGTCTCTACCTTAATAAAATGACTTGTACCTGTACATACCTGTACCTGTACATACCTGTACCTGTACATACCTGTACCTGTACATACCTGTACCTGTACCTGTACATACCTGTACCTGTACATACCTGTACCTGTACATACCTGTACCTGTACTTGTACATACCTGTACCTGTACCTGTACATACCTGAACCTGTACATACCTGTACCTGTACATACCTGTACCTGTACCTGTACCTGTACAGTGTACATACCTGTACCTGTACCTGTACCTGTACAGTGTACATACCTGTACCTGTACCTGTACATACCTGTACCTGTACATACCTGTACCTGTACATACCTGTACCTGTACCTGTACCTGTACAGTGTATATACCTGTACCTGTACCTGTACATACCTGTTCCTGTACATACCTGTACCTGTACATACCTGTACCTGTACATACCTGTACCTGTACTGTACCTGTACCTGTACATACCTGTACCTGTACATACCTGTACCTGTACATACCTGTACCTGTACATACCTGTACCTGTACATACCTGTACCTGTACCTGTACATATTACTCAAAAATAAATCTTATGTTCCGAAGAAAAAAAAGGGATACAAATTACAGCTTAAAATGAAACTTACTGTTTTAAATTCTTATTTTAGAAACAATTAAATCATATTTCCTGAAGAATTGATTTGTCATAACTTATTTACAATTGTTTAACTCCTGGCTAATTCTGGTGTATTTTTCAGAATATTTAGGCTTTCAGTCTTTCAGGAGACTCCAAAATTGTATTTTCTAAAAGATTGTTTTTATTACACTTTTCAAAATTTTAACTCTGACAGAAGATATAAGCCTGAAAGATTGATTTTGCTTCTATCAGATCATCTAAATTTTGCAACGTTTCATAAAATAAAATCAGGCCAATATCCAAGGATGTAAATCTTTGTAATTTTTCTGAAGCCTGTTATGTCATTATAAAAAATCATTTTTACCTTGTAAACATTATAATTTTCAATCCTCTCATCAAACAGATTATACAGCTCATTCAAAAATTCTTAACAATTAATAATAAGTAATTAACCTTCTAAATAACCAACTAAATAATTAACTAACTAATTAACTAACTATATACACTATTTAACTAACTAACTTACTAACTCACTAACTTACTAACTAACTAACTAACTAACTAACTAACTAACTAACTAACCAACTTACTAACTAAACTAACTAACTAACTAACCTGATATCTAACTGATAAACTATAACTAACAAGCAATTTCCTACTTAAAATTTTTAAACCTAACAGTTTTCAATGGTTCTACTCTTAATAAGTATAAAATTATGAATGAAAATTTAGGTATTTGATACCTATTATCTGCTGTGCTGTACTTTCACCAGCTATCTGAGAACAACCAAATTATGTAAAAAATTGGATTATTTCTATTAGGATTAAAACATTGCAACATTTATTTAAGGGCAGTCTTTTAAAGTTTGAAATTTTGGAAGTTTGCAGTATTTATGTGGTATCTTTTAAAGTTTAAAGATTAAAATCGTTAGAATTTTACATTTATCTTAGCCGAGACAATTTAAAAAAAGTTATGACGAAAGTTAATTATAATTTAGCATTTTTGTAAATCATGTATTTCCTGCAAAATTCTAATAAATTATCCATTTTTAATTTTTTTTGTTTGGTTCCTTTGTGAAGGAAACAATATCACAAATGAAGACTGTAGCGCTCTGAAATAGTTCAGGGTCTGGAACTGTTCCACGTTTCATCTGCCGGATAATAGAACGCGGCAACAGAGAACTCAGCAACTATAGAAACACAACTAAATTTATCATTAAACATGAAACTTTTGAATCTTAAATCTGTGAGAAGAAGACTTTACAGTCAACTTATTGTTTTCCCATCTAAGGAGCTGAACCTGAGTCTTAGATGCAGGAATGGACAAACGTTAAGCCATCTATATATAAATATTTTGCTTTTCTGCCTGTTTGTTTATTTGTAACGGTAAAACGTCAAAACGACTGAATCCAAATTTTTTGTGGGACCTCACATGACCCCAGGGAAGGTTTTTGACTATCGTAAAAGTTTGAAAATACATGTAGAGTTGTTTTATTGTGTTTTGTTTTTTTTTTAATAGGAAAGGCTAAAAGATTGAGAAACAATTAAAAAGTTGAAATAGAAGATGGGCGCGAAGCGCCCTGAGAGCCTAGTATTATATATTAAGATTATGATGTCATCTTCAAAAAAATTTTTCCAATTAATTTTAAACGTTTTGGAAACAGGAAATAATACCTTTTCAGTTTTGGAAAAAGGAAAATAATACCTTTTCAGTTTTCTTCTTCTCTGCTTCAAATACCATGACTCGCTCATTGTAAAGCCTGAACAAGAAGTAAGAAAATTAATAAAACTTAATTTAGATTTTTCTCAATCACAATTTTTTAAAGAGACCATCATATGACATTTTTTGTGATCATACATATTTAGTGATTATTTTAGTTTTTTTTTCAAATTATTTACAGTTTGAACACCTAATGATATTGTTAATCTTTTCACGAAAAGAAAATTATATTCTATTCTTTGGAATTAGGAACACAAGTACAAATAAGCTTATTCTGATCTTGACAGAGATAAGAGATCGATTATCAGCTAAAATATGCGATATTTTCCACAGCATGTTCTATTGTGTACAAGTACTGTACACGACCAATCAGCAAACATCTGTATTCAGGGACATTTAAGGATCCTTTGGATACGAGACACAAAATCTTCAAAAAAAGACTGAATTCATAAATGTTATGTTTCATGTTTAAAATTGGAGTATTTCTTCAAAAGTTGTAAAGCTTAACCCCTGAATGGGTATTTTGTTCAAGTGGCCGTGAGATGGCACTCTAAAAACCTATAGTAAAAATGTGGCGTGTCGTGGCGGATCAACTTAGGCCTACGACTACATAGCCCACCCTGTGAAAGGAGATAAGCAGCCTGTGTAGTCTGTGGTCCTTGATTAAGGGTCAAATGATCGCTGTTTGTTTGGCTACCTAAAAACTGTTTTTATTCAGAGATTCATAAAAAATAAACAAAATTTTTTTAACGTCTTATATAATTTTTAAGCAATCTTTTGATTTAATAGTTACAATTTTCTTAATTGGTGAAACTTACCTAGAGTACTTCATCATACTGTTAGTGCTGTTGAGAGTGAACCAGATACAAACTGAACCAAATTTAATAAATGAATAGATGAACAAATAAATGAATAAACAAATAAATAAATAAATAAAAGAGATAAATACATAGATAAATAAATAAAGAAATGAATAATCAAGTAAATAAATAAATAAATAAGTAGATAAATACATAGATAAATAAATAAATAGAAAGATAAATAAATTATTAAAATATCCACCATCATTCGGTGGAAAACAAAAAAGAAGAAGATTTGATTTACGTAAATAAAGTTGAAACATTTCTCTTGTCAGAAGTTTCGAGTAAAAAACTTCTTCAACCCATTTTTCATAGTTGTAGTACTTCTAGCTTACTGCAAACCAAAATATGCAATTATAAATCATTATAAATCGAAGTTAGGAACAAGCACATTGCAGTTTTATGATAAACACGTCCAGGCTACAAAACATTATAGGGGAGTTGGTGGGATAAAACCCAAGACAACACTTCAAAGTTGACGCGGTCTTAAAATCTGATAAATCTCTATATTTTATAAAAATAATGTTAGAGATCTTGGGGAAAAAAGTGAAAAAATGGACATCAAAATTTAAGTTGTATCCCCCTTGTTGACACTGTTTACCCAGAAATTCATTTATTTCCCTTCAAAACATTTATTCTCCCAAATTCAAACAAAATACCCTAAAATATGTTTTGCCGATCCGTGCATTTCATTCGAAAGGGGGTATATGATTTTTCAAGAAAATAATGGTCTGTGGGCTAATTATTAAATTTGGTTCCTGGAATGAAGATTGTTAGGAGAATAATTAGAACCAAGGGAACAGCATTCTCCTCACGTAAACTAAACCAGTTTTATATAAATATTTTATGTAGCTCTTACCTCAATATATATATATATATATATATATATATATATATATAAAGCATTTTCACTCTTTTTTCTCTCTATGAAAGCATAGATTGTTATACACCATTGTGTGTAAAATGTTCTTAAAATAAACTTCTTCGTTTTTGTTTAAAAACCAACAGAAGTCTTAGTTTTGTTTATCTAAGGTCTAAGCCATTGGAATGCAAAGATATAGAATTAGAAAATCAGAGTTTGTTGCAAAGACTCAGTTTCATTATTTAACGCAGACTTGAACATAACTCTAATTTGCTTTAATTATATAGAAACTGTTCCTGGCAGAGTTTGAGTTGACACGATCCAAGATATCTTTAGTCACAGAATTGATGATAATCCTAAAATCAGATGATTTTTTACTACCAAGGGTACGAAATGATTTTTTAAAAAAGTTTCCTTTTTTCAGCTTTCCTTTGTTATGGAATGATTTTGATCTAAATATTAAACAAATTGAGAACAAACTTGGGTTTAAACTTATTGCTAAAAAATTCTTGCTTGATAAATATTTAGACTTTAGATGTGATAAACTTTATTGTTTCAGTCGCTCAAATACTTAATTAATTCTTAATTATAGCTTTGTTCCTCGCTTGACCAGCCTGTGGATCTTTTCAGCCAGGAATCATATCTTTTATTTTAAATGGTAATTTTTAGCCACCAGATTTCTTAAAGGAACCCTCACCTTTCTCTGCCAGGAACTCCAACCTTTCTAAATCTAATTTTTGTGAAACTTTTTAAGTTAATTTTTTTGATTAAAGACTGATTGTACGGGAGACCGACTGAAAACAGTTTCGGCTAGTTCCGTCTCCATGCTATAAACTGTCATTTCAACTAATGTTAATTATAAATATCCATTTTTACATGCTTATTTATGGCTAAATATATAATTTGATTTGATTTCATTTGATATAGTTTGAATAAATACAATGTTTGTTTTAAATTTTGTTAGAATAAACCATCTTTATGTTTCTTATCTGTTAAAAGTAATTTAGCAAAATACATGTTTATTTTGCTTGATTACTAGTTAGATATTAGTGAACAATTCCGTTATCAATTACCTTAAATTATCTGTGTACTTGAGAAAGTGACTAAAGTATTCAATAACTTGTTTCAGAGATTTATTAAAGTCCTCTCTGTTCATTATCTTTTCCTAAAATTAAAAAAAAATCTGAACTGAAAAAATAATTTTATTGTTTTTACTCTTTATTGGATTAATTTCCGGATATACTTATCATAGACCTAAGGCCGAATTTTAAAAATTTAAACCGCCAATGGATCATCTTAAAAGGAGTTGATTCTTTGCCACAAACTCTGATTTTCTTATCCCTATATCTTTGAAACCCAATGTTGTAAACCTTTAATACTTCAAGCTTATATTATTTGATCTAACAGAACTCATAGTTTGAAATATCAAAGGTCTACGACATTGGAATCTAAAGATATAGGGATCCTTTGGACTCCTTTGGTTCAAGCGTTTGTGATTTGAACCGGCGCTCAAATGAATCCGGTTATTGGGGGTTCAGCGACGCGGTTTAAATTCTTGAAAAGAATTGAGTTTATGTCACAAACTCTGATTTCCTTATCCCTATATCTTTGCATTTCAATGTCGGAGACCTTAGATATTTCAAACTATGAATTATTTTAGATCAAATAATGATAGTTTGAAATATCACAGGTTAACACCATCAGGTTGCAAAGATATAGCGATTTGAAAATCAGAATTTGTTACTAAAACTCAGTTCCTTTGGCCTTTGAATTAAGCCTACTGTGTAAATTTTGTAGCAGAAAACGCACCGGGTCAACTACATACTGGGTAAACTAGAAGGGCTGGTAGGATAAAAACTAGATCAATATCCATGATCTGGTTCGGATCTTGGATCCACTTGTGTCATGCAGAGCTAAGCTTAACAAGTTAAAATTCGAACAGAGCAGCACAGAGCACAATAAAATGAATGTTTAACAAATTTCCTCACCTGGATAATTGGAAAATAACTGCCGTTGTTCATCATGTTGTACTGAACTCTCACAGAGGGCATAAAGTTAAATGTTTGGTTCAGATATTCCTGCCTTAAATATATTTAATTAATATTATACTGAACTCTCACAATGTGTATAAAGTTAGATGTCTGGTTCAGATATTCCTGCCTAAAATATATTTAATTAATATTATACTGTATCTCACAGAGGGCATAAAGTTGAATGTCTGGTTCAGATATTCCTGCCTAAAATATATTTTATTAATATTATACTGTACTCTCACAGAGGGCATAAAGTTGAATGTCTGGTTCAGATATTCCTGCCTAAAATATATTTTATTAACATTATACTGTACTCTCACAGTGGGCATAAAGTTGAATGTCTGGTTCAGATATTCCTGCCTAAAATATATTTGATTAATATTATACTCTACTCTCACAGAGGGCATAAAGTTGAATGTCTGGTTCAGATATTCCTGCCTAAAATATATTTAATTAATATTATACTCTACTCTCACAGAGGGCATAAAGTTGAAGGTCTGGTTCAGATATTCCTGCCTAAAATATATTTAATTAATATTATACTGTACTCTCACAGTAGGATTAGAGATATAGGGATTAGAAAACTTGAGTTGGGGGAAAAAACTTTATTCCTTTGTTTGAAAAAAATGTTGCATTAAAAAACCTACTTTTTAAAACAAGTTAGTTAATATGAAGATACAAAGAATATGTCAATGTAATATCCCTGTAGTTCTAATATACATAATTAATAATATTATAAAATGTTACCTCAGTACATCATTGTTGAGAAAATTTTCATATTTTTCTTCAGTTAGTCCGGTAGATAAATATTCGATACCAATAATCCCAGCTTTTCCAGCATACTCCACTGCTCGTAATAGATTCTTATATCCTGGATATATATATAATGGAAATATACACTGTTAGAAACAATATTATTTTGCTCGTAGTAGATTCTTATATCCTAGATATATTTATAATAGAAATATACACTGTTAGAAACAATATTATTTTGCTCGTAATAGATTCTTATATCCTAGATATATATATAATAGAAATATGTTAGAATCCATAATATTTTGCTCTTAATAGATTCTTATATCCTAGATATATATATAATGGAAATATACACTGTTAGAAACCATATTATTTTGCTCGTAATAGATTCTTATATCCTAGATAAATATAAAATAGAAATATACACTGTTAAAAACCATAATATTTTGCTCGTAATAGATTCATATATCCTGGATATATATATATATATATAATAGAAATATACACTGGTAGAAACCATAATATTTTGCTCTTAATAGATTCTTATATCCTAGATATATATATAATAGAAATATACACTGTTAGAAACCATAATATTTTGCTCTTAATAGATTCATATATCCTATATATATATATAATAGAAATATACCATGTTAGAAACCATAATATTTTGCTCGTTATAGATTCTTATATCTTAGATATATATATAATAGAAATATACACTGTTAGAAACCATAATATTTTGCTAGTAATAGATTCTTATATCTTAGATATATATATATATAATAGAAATATACACTGTTAGAAACCATATTATTTGAGTTTACTTATAATATATCTGTAGAAATCTGAATTTAAGTTTACATATAATATATCTGCAGAAATCTGAATTTAAGTTTACATATAATATATCTGTAGAAATCTGAATATAAGTTTACATATAATATATCTGTAGAAATCTAGTTTACCTATAATATATCTGTAGAAATCTGAAATATCTGAATCATGAATGGAGTAGGTAACATAACTCAATGTTTTGCTGTTTACCTAACAATACAATTCAAATCTTTATTCTAATTCATACTTGATCAGACACAGCTTTTAAGGGTACCGTTGTGAATGGGACATTGTCATCTTTTAATGGAGAGTGTTAATTTAATTTTAAATGTAGTTAATTTGTAGATACATAAACTTAAGTAATGTAAACTCAATAAAACATTATATTTATCTTGGCTTGGTTAAATTGACTTGCCATGCTTTAATACAATTTCTGAATACAAATGCAATATTAATGGTGACAAAAGAACATTTTTCGGAACAAAAACTTTAGTAACAATCTATATTTTTATTTCTAAGGCCTGAGATCGGAATTTATGAATAGAGAGAAGTAATTAAACTCGGTAGGAATAGTTGAGCTACTTCTCTGTAGTGTGAGAGAGTGTACCATAGAAGTAGTTCAGCTGTTTAAACCTTTTCAAGTACTTCTTTACTGACAACTAAAAAGAAGGAGTAGGTCAAAATTTTGTCACATTACTGGCACGAGGTTGTGCTCTCGCACCTTCTCTAGTTGTTATGTTATATACGCATGAAAATGAGAAAATCGGTTCTAACATGGTTGGGTCACCTGGAAATTTCAAGACTTAAGCAGTCGCTTAATTGGAACCGGTTATTGGCGGTTAAACGATGTGGTCCAAATTCTTCAAGTTCGACCTCTGGTTACATAATAGAAATTCAAAACATTTTTATTCTTCTCAATAGCTTTTTAGAAAGAGGAGTTATGATTGAAAACATATTGGATATCAATCTTATGTGTCTTGCCTTTATAAACCCAACCTATTTTTATGTTAGATTAGTAGTTCTAGTTCAGTTAAGAATTTTAATAAAGTTTTGTTTTCAAATTATGAATGAAAACAAATAAAACATGACAAAGTCAAAGATTATTAAATTGTATATTCCTGATTGTACCAATCCAAAACACTGGCCAGAGACTTATTGCCCTCCTGAATTTTCGTCCTAAAAAGAAAAAGAAAAAAAAAATTAAAAATTTTCAGAATTATTAATTTTCTAAGTTATTACCTAAAAAGTGAATGCTGAATCTGGAACTTCAATTTAGTTTGAAAATACTTTTCATTAGAAACCTAGAAATATTTTGTACATGGTTAAAACCAGTAAAAGAGGGATACAACTCTTTGTTCTTTTAAGTCTTAATCATGAACGTCGAATTTTTTAGAAGAAGACCAAAGATTCAGAACGAAATCAGTCGTAAAAATTGAAAAGATTGAACAAGGATATTTCAGTTTATGCCAGGTGTCTTTCATTTTGATAATATGGTTAATGTGTGGTAATTCAGAAGTATTTGTTTTTATTTTTTAATTAACGAGAAAATTAACAAAAAAAAACCTAAATTTTTTGTACACATAAATTTAAGAATTTTAAGATAATACCTTTGGCCAGTTTTGGACCCCCTGTAGCACTTGATCCGTATTATTAAATGTATTTGAGAGTGTAAATTTTTCAATTACATTCGCATACTCATTCCCTTTCAGAAACCTGAAATAAACTTGTCAATTACATTCCCATACTCATCCCCTTTCAGAAACCTTAAATACACTTGTCAATTACATTCCCATACCCATCTCCTTTTAGAAACCTGAAATACACTTGTCAATTACACTCTCATACTCATCCTCCTTCAGAAACCTGAAATACACTTGTCAATTACATTCCCATACTCATCCTCTTTAAGAAACCTGAAATACACTTGTCAATTACATTCCCATACTCATCACCTTTCAGAAACCTGAAATACACTTGTCAATTACATTCCCATACTCATCCCCTTTCAGAAACCTGAAATACACTTTTCAATTACATTCCCATACTCGTCTCCTTTCAGAAACCTGAAATACACTTGTCAATTACATTCCCATACTCGTCTCCTTTCAGAAACCTGAAATACACTTGTCAATTACATTCCCTACGCGTCTCTTTTCAGAAACCTGAAATACACTTGTCAATTGCATTCCCATACTCGTCTCCTTTCAGAAACCTGAAATACACTTTTCACTTTCATTTCCAAACACAAATAGACATAGATTACTTCTTTATAAACATACTAGCTTGGAAACCTTGCGTTTCCCCTAAGTGAATAGGTATTTAGATAGTACTTAATCACTTTGGCGTTTCCCAGGCTATTCATTATTCAAAGTTGCTACCGCCGTTTACCCGCAATTGGCTGATTTTTACCGGGGAACAAAATTAGAATTTTAAAAGCTTAACCCATTCTTGTGGCTTTATTGAGTTCCCTAATCAAAATGTGAGGCAAATCGGTCAAGGTTCCTGAATTATGAATAATCGGACAAACACAAAAATAAACAGAGATTACCCGCATAGAACAAACGACCCTGTTTTAGAGTCTGAAAACGACCCGCACGACCCCAAAAACGGGCGCCGGCCCGACTCTGTTTTAGTACTAATAAAAGAGTCGTTTTTAGACCGAAAAGACCCTGAATCCG